GGATCTAAATATTTATAATTAATTATAACTAGTTATGATTAATTATTCATATTTCCCCATGAGCTGATTCGCTACATATATATACACAAATATGAATAATACTAAAATAAGGCTGGCAAATACATTAAGAGAAACATTTTCTGATTTATTTATAAAGTGTTTTTCACAGTAAACATGTTATCTTGTTAAACACAGTATTAAAGTGCCCCTATTATGCCTTTTCGAATATTACCTTTCATGCAGTGTGTCATGTAGCTGTATGTGAACATAAACTGTCTGCAAAGTTGCAATCCAGAGCCAATCTTTCTACGGCTCTGGACCAATCACAAAGGAGTGCACCATCTGACCAATCACAGCAGTGAGGGCTCACGGAAAGGATGGGTTTAGATAGACTGATTCTTTGAACTGCTTCGCACGAGTTGTTTACGGATCATTTAGAAATGAGGTAAAATTAAATCTATTTTTTGAGAAAACTAACGTGTTTTTTGACCTTGCATGCATGTAAACCTGTTTTAGGAGACTAATAAAACAATATTAGCAACCTTAAAAATGGCATAATAGGGGCACTTTAAAAAACATGTTGATATTGTTTGTATCAAAATAATAAATGTTCTAAGGTTCTAAACCATAAACAACTTTGGAGAGATTCAAATATGCTAATGAGATCACGTTATCCACTGGTACTCCGTTACAAGTGTATTCTTTTGCATGGGGCACTGATGATGCGATCCTTACCGTGGTGCATCATGTTTTAAAACGACAGACAGTATGCATATTGTGTTCTGAGATTTTAACAAGCTCTATTCAAGCTAAATTATTAAACCTTACATTTCATAATGTCAGTGAAAATTGCAACAGTGATTCAGCCATGCTTGGCTGAGTTTCTCTTCATGAAAATTGCAATAAAATCAGAGCCTCTGAAGTGCCTTAGAACAGGTCTAAATGCTCATATAAACTTTGAATAGCTGTGAGGACTTCCAGTGCAGCATGAGAACAATAGAGCAATGAAATGTGGACTTTAGGCCCGTTACATCACCTATTACTGTATCACTTTCACTTTGTGTCCAAAGCATGTCCTCCATACGTGAAATATGATGGCATTTACTCAGGGACAAGTCTCTCTGGAGGCCTACAGCATTTCGAGGAGAAGAAGAATTGGATGAGAGTGAGGAGGGATGGAGAAGAAAGAGGTCCTTGATAAATAATGTCTCAGAAAAGAACAGATGATGAGGTTCATGTGGAGGCAAGGCACTCGTGCAGAGGGGAGAACAAAACAAATGATATGAAAAGCACGGAGATGTGTGCTGCTGAAACAGGGCTACAGAGTCAGTGGGGAGGAGTGGACAGATGGCCTGGGAACAGAATCGGTGGTCATATCTCTATGAATCCCCTCCTTTCGGTGTCTTTTAAATGTCAGGCTTTGTACTGACTCTCACTAAGAGTATTCTTAAATACCCTTCCTTTATATTGTGCTTTGTGTTTTTGGTTCCTTCAACTGGAGCTGCATATATTGTGATCATAAAATGGTTGTGATGTGTTTTTTCTTCATATTTGAATATGAGTAAGTGGATCAGTGACATGATGCTCAGTCCCCCCTCCCTCTATATGAATTTAGTAATAAAGACAAGAGTTGAAAATAATAAAATATAAATATAAGATAAAACACTTAAACATATGCATGTTTGTACATATAATGACTTAAATATGTTTTTTTTTAATTTACTAAACTGATTTTGTATTTTTGAATAATAATTCCTTAATATAAAGCTTTTAAAGTAAAGCTTTTTAAAATGTTTTTTAAAGTTCAATTTAAAACATATTTATGTATTTGTTTGTTTATTCAAATTAATACACTCCCATATATTTAAAATGTAAAGTATATTTATTTTTTATATAAAGTATATTAATTGATCACATTACTTTTTCATATATTTTTTTTTTCTAAATCAACACATTTATTATTATTATTATTATTATATATTTTTTTATGTTTAAAACCCATCCTCAGATGTTTTAAGTTTTTTCATCCTTTTGAAAGATTTTCCCTTCTTTTTATGGTTCGATTCATTTGATGGAGTTTTGATCTGGGACATTCAGGACGTTTCAAGTATTAAGTTTTGACACTGTGACCCTTTATATCCCGTAGAATCAGATGACACACCGTATTTCGTCATTGGAGCCATTCTGTACCGCACCCTCGGCCTCATAATGCCCCCACCAAAGTAAGTCCCGTCTTTGAGTGTGTGTGAATGCATGTGTTTGTGTGTATTAATACATTTTTGAAAGCTGTTTTAAGGACACTCATTCTGTTACTCTGCATATGATTGACACCAGCTTGCAGAGACAATGGACAATTATCAAAATCGAAATTGATCCAAAGAATGAAAGTGGAACAATCATTAAGCCTGTTTTAATCTGTCTAGAAATGAGCTTATTTGACTAAGATGCTTATTTGAAGGTCTTGACCATTCCCTTTGCATTCTGATAGGAGGTCAACAGTTCATATGACTTCATACAGGATTAACCATGGTAAAGTTTGCCACCTTTTGTAGGCTCATTGTGCTCCCACACTGTCTTCTGATCTAGTTTTACAACAGCAGCCTAAAATGGACATACAGTGCTGTCTATTCCTAGAATACCTCCTATTCATGCACTACCTGTTAATCCCATGATCCTTACCATGGATATTCTGATGCTGTGTATAGGGATGTGGCTCTTAAATCCTCAGATTTGCCCTGTTACACAGCCAAAGCCTTATCAAACTGACACAGCTGTTCTCACAGAGATTGACACAGGGGAACAGTATTAGTCTAGATGGACACTAAAAGGTAAAAAAGCCACAAGCGATTAGAATTGTAATTAAAAAAAAAAAAAAATTACATTTAATAATGTATTTATTTATTAAAATTAATACGCAAATGTAAGGGGAAAAAAGGGGGCAAGTGTGAGGCTACATTTTTAGATATTCTGGTTAACTGTGTTGCCTTTGCCCTCAGTGTAGCCACTACTGAGACCGTGTCTGTATTGAGAGAGAGGAGATAAGTGTAATTAGGCTGATTGGCAGTGGCGGCTCGTGGGTTTTAAAATAGAGGAGGCACACTCCCCTACGAGGTTTCTTTTCTCAACACTCCTCAGCGCTGAAAGTGAATACTCGATGGTGATTGGCTGATTTTTTTACCAACGGAGGCACGAGAGCTCAGCTCTACCCCGGCCTTCCCCTACCCTTCTCTGTCATTAGCGGTTGTAATTACATCAGCAGATTCAGCACATTCGCGATAGAAAAGCGGCACTTTCCAACATCATTAACATGTTATGGTATTACAGCTGTGAAATTACAAACAAAAAATACACATTCTGAGACATGAACTGAAATTAATTGTTAATTTATTAACATTAAATCGTCCTCCTCCCATTTTCACCTCAAAATTTTGGGGAAGCCATGCTTCCCCCGACGAGCCGCCACTGGATTTGTGCAGCTGACACTGGGGGGCATGTAGGGATGTATCTTCTCCTACTCAAGCCCTGCTGGGGTCTGTAGTTCACTGTCCAAACTCACTGAACATGTCAGAGTCCTCAACCTGAGGAACACAAGAGCGTGCCGACAACCACTGCTTGTGTTTGCTTCTGTCTCTTTCTATTGTGAGCTGTGTTAGAGGCATGGGTATCCAGCTCATTGCTCCTCAGTGTGGTTGATTGTGACGGAGCTTGTTGAATATGTATGGGATCAAGGCTATTTGTTTGTTTTTGGTCTGCTTTTGCTTTGTGTCTCATTAATTTTCTGCGCAGAGCACACATCCTTGCTCTCGCTGTCCCAGGGGGGGGCTAACCTGCCCGATTTGTTTGTGACAGAATGTAACTCCCTGTGACCCAACACCCACGGATACACAAGTTTTATCTTTCTCCATAACACACACACCAAAAATAGATGGATTTGCTTAGCGCAGGATGGTCCAAAATAACTCTGCCAATGGATTTAAAACACACACATACACACACACACACACACACACACACACACAAACGGTGGCACTCAGCCATTGTATCATGCTCTGTCATGGATTACCTGCCAGAGTTTTGAGCCATTCAGAATTCAATTGAATCAAATTGCAATTGAGGTGGCATACAGTGTGCGAAACTGTGTTCCGAATTTAAGGAAGTACAATTAAAATGCAATGAAATTCAAAGAAATCAACTGCTGTTAAGTGTACATTATTATTCTAACCAATATTTGAAATGCCACCCATGGAGTTTTGTATTTAATTTATTTATGTATTTTTTTTATTATTTACTCTATTTTATTTAATAAATCAACAACAAATGTAATTTAAAAAAAATGACAAAAATTAAAATCTCTTTTATGTAAAGTGTTTTGGCAATATGGAACTTCGTTTAGAGAAATATGTCTAATCAGCTGAGAAAAGTGTATAAGTGTCTGTGAATAAATATGCAGAATTAGAAGAAATTTTAAATGTTTTTGTTTTGTCACACAATTTGTCAACTAATAAATGTTCTCTGTTGTGTGACTGTGTTGAATTTATTTGAATTGCAGTTTTGAATTTCATGATTTTGTCATTTCAATTCAAATTCTAATTGAGCATTCTGTGGGCTGTGGCCAGTTCAATCATGAAGGGTGCCAGTTCTTAAATTCTGAATGTTGCCCAGCCTTGATACATATTGGTAGATTTGAAATGGAGTCAGTTTTGGATCTAACTCGCTCTGTGTTCCTTCCTCCCAGAGATCCATTCGTGATCAGCTCGAAGATTCTGACAGTGACGGTACGTCCTTTACCCAAGCCCTCCGAGCCCTTGGTATCAGTAGAACTTGCCCCTTTGCTCAATGTAAGTACTTTATACTTTTATTTATATTTTAACAGGCTTTAATATTAAATGCCCCAACAAAATATGCCTATTACATCAAAGTATATTTTTGATGTACCTTTCCTTAACTAAATCACTAGTTGAAACAGTTTTATTTTCCTGTACAATACCGTTCAGAAGTTTTTGGGTTGTTCTTTGGGTCTTTTTTTTTGAAAGTCTCTTCAAATGCATCAAAATGCAGTAAAAACAGTAATATTGTGAAATATTAATACAATTTAAAATAAATGTTTTCTATTTTAATATATTCTTAAAGTACTTTATACTTTTATTTATATTTTAACAGGCTTTACTATTAAATGCCCCAACAAAATATGCCTATTACATCACAGTATATTTTTGATGTACCTTTCCTTAACTAAATCACTAGTTGAAACAGTTTTATTTTCCTGTACAATACCGTTCAGAAGTTTTTGGGTTGTTCTTTGGGTCTTTTTTTTTGAAAGTCTCTTCAAATGCATCAAAATGCAGTAAAAACAGTAATATTGTGAAATATTAATACAATTTAAAATAAATGTTTTCTATTTTAATATATTCTTAAAATATAACGTATTCCTGTGATGGCAAAGCTGAATTTTAAGCAGCCATTACTCCAGTCTTCAGTGTCACATGATCCTTCACAAATCATTCTAAGATGCTAATGTGATGCTTAAAAAATGATCAATTATCAGTATTGAAAACAGTTGTGCTGCTTAATATTTTTGTACGTTAGTAAGTATATCCGATATGTCAATATTTTTCAACTCATTTTGGCCGATAACCGATGCTGATACTGACATATTATTGTTTGGAAAAAAAAAACACCAAGTCTCTCCTGTGCAGAGATTATAAACGTATTATTTTTCATTTTGGTTAGTTTTTAACAAAATCTTACTTGCTTTATAATGAGAGTACATTGAAAGCTTTGAAAATAACTACATATCAACTATAAATCAATCACTGCATTTTTCCCCCTTCAGCCAGTGGTAACCTTAACATTTTATCTGAAGATTTAACATTTGTAGATGGTCTAAAGCAAAAGAGTTGTAAAAATTCTGAAAATATTTTAGAGATCCTTGTATTTAAGTTTCCATAATCTGTTCGGAAAAATATATCACACATTAATGAATAAATCTCTCTATATATATATATATAATGATTTAATTTACAAGTGTCAAGTTTGTGATTTTTATTCTTGTAAGTAAGCTATAGCTTCTGATCTTTAAATCAAAACATACTTGTACTTGTCATGACTTCAATTACTGCTTTATTTAATCAGAAACACAATCTTTGTGTTATTTGTGTATTTTACTTTCATTTTATATCAAGTAGGCCAACAGCACCCCCTAAATCAGGGGTAGGCAAGTTCGGTACTACAGAGCCGCTGTCCTGCAGAGTTTAGCTCCAACCCTGAAAAAAAAAACTCACCTGACTATAGCCTTAGTAATCCTGAGACATTGATTAGCTTATTCAGGTGTGTTTGATTAGGGTTGGAGCTAAACTCTGCAGGACAGCAGCTCTCTTGCCCCAACTTGCCTGCCCCTGCCCTAAATGAATAAACAGGCCTCGCCGAAGGGGCATTAGGACCCGGGGAAGGCTGTTTCTGCTGCTGCACGCGCTGGTAACTGTTTACTCTATCGCACACCAGATGCGTCATTCTGTACTTGCGTTCTCTAATTAAATGCTATGATCCAAAACAGTGAATCTAATCATCATTCAGACAAAAGTTTGCTTCAAGAATGACAACACTGCTGACGTGATCTTATCGCTAGCACATCCTAAGTACATGCAAGTAATTCGTCTTATTGGCAAGGCATATCGGCATAATGTTTCTTATTGGGCCAATGCCTACATTTTAAGCCATTATCGGCAGATTCTGATAATGTTCCGATAATATCGTGCTTTGATCGGTTGTGTATATATGCAGAATAGAGGAATCTTTTCGTATATTTTCTGAATTTTCATATATTTTCAGCAAATACATTTTTTGTCTAAACTAACCCTTCAGAATTGAGGTTACATGCATTCATCATCATTTCTGTCTTCTTATATATTCTTATATTTCCCCTTTTGGTTCTAACTGTACCACTAGTTATGACCGATATCCAATGCACATTCACTCATGGTGACAAATTGCCTGAGATATAGTGAGCACAGACTTCTAGCACAGTGAGTCTATTTGGACACCATAATCAGGCACGAAATACAGTTCTGTTAGAATGACCCTCTATTAATAATCTGTTATGAATAGAACATCTTTAATCCCTAAATACACAGGACATAAAGTACTGCACATAAAGGCTCTCAATATTTTATGTGGGAAAAAAATTTAATAAAAATATACCCTCAAGGATTTATGCAAAATGTGCGAAACCTGCAGATTGGATTGTACATCAGTGCAGAAATCAGCTGCGTGGAGAACACTGCCATTGTGATGTTCCCCTAGTCGTCATGGCAACCTTTACCCGCTATCTCCTCCGTAGAGGCATGAGTTTTGGAAATGCAGGAGTGGATGTGATTCATCAATGTTTTCTATGCACACGTCCCCCGCCGTACTTAGGTCGTGCCCCGCTCAGCCGTAGTCCTGGGTGAGTCCCATCTGTGTATGGAAGACCTTGGCAGGGGTCAGTGTCCAGATTGTCCAGCGGAGCCCCGGCCGCAGATGTTTGGGACACGGAGGGGGGCATCTAAGGCTGTGTGTTGGGACTTGTCCTCTCTGTGTGGACAGCTGCTTGAAGACATCCTGCCTGAGCCATCCTGAACCCCAGAGGCTGCTGGGAATGGAGGCAGTGCACTCCAGCTGTGTCATTGGCTGGCGATCCTCCCCATTCATCAGTCTTAATACGGGCGTACTGGCATCTACACCGGTTATTGATCACTGATGTTCAAAGCATCCGGCTGTCAGTTATTTGAGTGTCAAATTGAAATTATGTATTCAATTGCATGTTTTGTTGGTTTTGTTTACCACCTGCAATGACAAAACAGCTCCGGTCATTTGTTCTCATTATAAATAAGAGTACCAAAACCATCTATCTGTGGTGCTGATAAGTACATTCGAGCCAATCGAATGGCATGAGTCCATACTGGACACTTAAAACTGGCCTTAGCAAACATATCACAATGATCGAACATCTGCGTGAATGTTTCTGGGCTGATCCGACTGTTATTCTGTCCAGAAAACCACTCTCAGGCCATTGTGGAGCAGACTGTGTCAGCCATCTGTCATTCAAACACTTACTCTGTCAAAATGTGACTCAGTCATTTGATCCAATCCAGTATGTGCCATTGTTTAACCACTTGGGGGCAATGACATGTTTAAAAATCCTGTATAGTGTCTGTATCGCGCTGAATCCATTTTCATTGGAAGTATACCACCTCACTGAGACTGTATAACAAGATATAATTTCCCTCTGATTCTGGCAGCCCTAGTGGGAGTCTGTTAGACTCCTGAAGGTCGGAGGTGATTATTGTTCAGGTCATAAGATCCCATGTGGGATTCCTCCTCCTAAAAAGACATGATAGGCATAACTTGAGCTGAGACAGATTAGTCAATTACACCAGTTGATTCACTGATGAATCAATAACGAGCTGTTCATCCAGCCATGCACCACTGAACCCTTATTAGAGCCTCACACTGGGCATACAGTGAGGGCATCATCCCAGACTCTCACGAATCAATGAATCAAGAATGAGTTGGTGTTTTTTTTAATATATATATGTATATATATATATATATATATATATATATATATATAGGAGATCAAAATTAGAGAACAATCTAGAAATACTTAAATACTTAAAAATTTGAAGGAATATTAGCTGTAGGTATACCACTGTTATACTAACATGTTTGACAAAATAACCAAGATATTTATTTTGTGGAAAACACATTTACATTACATTTACATACAGTGCAACATAGTGATCAGAATTAGAGAACAGTAACCACTGTTGCACAAAAGAAGATTACAACAAAAATTTGGGAGGGTTACAGCTTTAAAAAAAAAATGTTATTACACTTTAAAATAACTGTTTTGTGTTTGTGTATTAGTGCTCATGAAACATTTATTATTAATGTTGACTTTTTATTTGTATTAATAATTACAATTATTAAAAATATATACTTGTTTTAATTTAATGTGTAATCATTTAAGAGTCATTTTGCATTCAGCACATACGTAAAGTGGCCCCCAAAACTTTGACAAATTATTGACACTTAAAATATATGAATAGATTTATATTATATAACAAATCATTAAACCAAGTGGCAGAAATATGGTATACATTTTTCTGAAGCTAAACATTTCACAATCAGTTTGTTACGTCTCAGACTATAAAAATATATGTTTCAAATAAATGCCTAGAATTGTTTGTTTGCAGATGCCACCTGATTTGATTATGTTGTTAAATAAATCAATAAAATTCACATATGTTCTCCATCACTTCATCTCCCTTCATACAGACACAGATGCAATGCATACAGTATTTATTGTTATTCCTTTCTGCAATGCAACACTAATTGGTTTATCTTTTTTTTTTGTCACTCCTAACTTTTTCTGTCATTCTTTCTTTCTCCTCACAGGGCACAACAGATCCTCAGTGTGTTGTCTGGGACTACGGAAACCCGTAAGTCACACATCTGCAGCCCCCCACACGCACAATGTCTGTTACACAACTGTCACAAACATATTTTAGATCTCATATTATATTTATTCAACCCAATTGAGAGCATTTTGACATCAGTGTTTGTATTTGCAGACTCGTTAATAATCAGAAGTCCCTTTGATGAAGTCTTTGACACTGCATTTATTGAATTAATGAGCTGAAATTTGCATCATTCTTCTCACTTCATGCGTTAAAGTGAGAGCTTGGGTTTTCAAAACACAATGCCTCCAATCTCATGATCTGATTGTCTTGTGAATCGATCCCATCCAAAAACCTGTCAGCCGTCACGGCAAGAGCTTTATTACCGTATTGTCTTCAAAAATCTAAACAATGTTGCTTTTCCTGAGGGATCTCTGGTTATGAAATTACGTGCCGTTTCCTGTTTCACTCTGTAGTGCCCTATGAAGTGAATGAGTATCACAAACACAATCTACAGCTAGTTGTGCTTTCAGGTTCTCAAAACTACTCCCCCTACTGGCGTAACTCGTAATAAGCATCTCTCAGCTTAGATGTACAAAGAAATGTCAAATATGTCAAACAAAAGTTTATTTTTTCTTATTTTGACTGCTCTTGATGACGTAATTCTGTCTGTTGATATGCTTTGGTTGCGTCTTTGTGCCTGTTTATTTAGGAGCTTTGAGAGTGCCGCATGTATTCTAGTTCACGCTCTGTTTGTATTTGCGTCGGAAAACATCTGCGCTCGGAGTCTGTTTATATCAGGGAGGAGCGATACAAAAGAGTTTTTGAAGCATCACAAATAAGGTGAGAGAGAAAAGGACAAAGAGAGACGCAAGGCAGAGAGACACGTCTACACTGAAGATGCATTCACACTGACAGCGAGTTACAGTCATTCATTGACAATGAGTGAAAGAGATTGCTGGCAAAATTTAACCTTCGGCAACAATGGTCACCAACTAGATGCTAAAACGTTGCGGTTTTAATCAATGAAGCTGTCTACGCTGCAAACTTTGTTGATTTTGATAGCAGCTGCGTCTGATGTGCCGACGGAATGTACCTGTGCGTAAAGCACCTGTGAAAACGCTGGAATCTCGTGTGTCTTGCGCGCTCGACTGCGCCAGTATTTCCTTTTGTGTAACTCCGCACTGGCACAGAACACCTCACGCATCATTAATACGCACCGGGAGGTGGTCGGCACGGCAACAGGCAGACCTGACTAGACAGGAGAATGGCAGGCGGTAATTACTGAAGCAGAAAAACCCTTCTATCTGCAGGCCGTAAAGTCAATCAACGCAAAACCTGATTACCTCTCCCACCAAATTACATTCCAAATCATTCCGAGATGAATGCGCTAGTGTGATTAAAAAGCGTCGAGATATAGAGATTTTTATCGTTATTATAAACCCAAACATGCCAAAATCACTCCTAAAGCCCATCCAGTGGATTGAAACAACATTCATTGCCCTTTATTCATTGTCAGACGCTTGAAGGAGGAGATTGATACTGTACTGTAAAGAAGAGAAAATTACATGCTTTGGACTTCATAGGTGTATTTTTTTTATTTATTTTATGTTTTATTTTTTTGTCTTTTAATGTAGATCTGTTTGTTCTTTTTTTCAAATCCTCAAGCAAATTATCTGTTCATTTAAACAATTCCCAACATCAGACTTTTCAAGATTACGATCATCTTTCTCTCGCCTCCTCTTTTATTGTTGTTTCCTGTTCCACAATAGAGCGGTGTCTAATTGCTTTCAGCTCACTGTAGTTATTGCACTTTGCCTGTATAATCAAGTAAAAATTGTGCAATCTTCTTTTTTTGGTGAATTAATTTATTCAAAGCCACCATCACTCTCTGACGCAGGTTTAATTTCCATGATTTGCTGAAGTGTGTCAGCAGAGAATTGTTCTTAATATTTGCATGTCTTTACATGCACTTTGCCCCTCATGTTCTGTTGAGATTGATTATACGGGTTTTATGTTCAGGGTCCCAGAGAATACAGGTGCATCTCAATAAATTAGAATGTCGTGGAAAAGTTCATTTATTTCAGTAATTCAACTCAAATTGTGAAACTCGTGTATTAAATAAATTCAATGCACACAGACTGAAGTAGTTTAAGTCTTTGGTTCTTTTAATTGTGATGATTTTGGCTCACATTTAACAAAAAAACACCAATTCACTATCTCAACAAATTAGAATATGGTGACATGCCAATCAGCTAATCAACTCAAAACACCTGCAAAGCTTTCCTGAGCCTTCAAAATGGTCTCTCAGTTTGGTTCACTAGGCTACACAATCATGGGGAAGACTGCTGATCTGACAGTTGTCCAGAAGACATTCATTGACACCCTTCACAAGGAGGGTAAGCCACAAACATTCATTGCCAAAGAAGCTGGAATTGAGGCAGTAATTAAAGCAAAAGGAGCCCCTACCAAGTATTGAGTACATGTACAGTAAATGAACATACTTTCCAGAAGGCCAACAATTCACTAAAAATGTTTTTTTTTATTGGTCTTATGAAGTATTCTAATTTGTTGAGATAGTGAATTGCTGTGTTTTTGTTAAATGTGAGCCAAAATCATCACAATTAAAAGAACCAAAGACTTAAGATACTTCAGTCTGTGTGCATTGAATTTATTTAATACACGAGTTTCACAATTTGAGTTGAATTACTGAAATAAATGAACTTTTCCATGACATTCTAATTTATTGAGATGCACCTTTATGTGTGAAAATAATAATAGCAATTTCAAAATTATTTTCCTTTATTTTTTATTTTTTGGAAAGTTTTTGACATAATGAAATCCAATTAGTCAAACAGGTAATTATTTTACCTTAAAGTAGACATGCATTTGTTCAAAAGTTTTGGGTCAGTAATTTAAAATAAATGCTGTTCTTTTGAGTTTTCTGTTCTTCAAAGAATCCTGTAAAAATGCATCACTTTTTCTACAAACATATTAAGCAGCACAACTGCTTTCCACATTGATATAATATGTATATCAAGCACCAAATCAGCATATTAGAGTGATTTCTGAAGGATCGTGTGACACTGATGACTGGAGTAATGGAAAATTCAGCTTTGGCATCACAGGAATAAATTACATGTTCAATATTCAAATAAAAAACAGCTATTTAAAATTATAATGATATTTCAGAATTATACCGTTTCAGTATTTTTGATCAAATGATTGCAGTCTTGGTGAGCATAAGAGACTTCTTTCATTAAAAAAAAAAAAAAATCATGGTGACTTTACAACTAGTTTTGATGATAAGCTTATTACCGTTATGCATTCACAAAAGTTTTTTGAGGGTAAAGTCTTAAAAAAACAACTCAGAGAGCCTGGAGAACTTACAGAGAGAGAGAAAAAAAATCCTAAGTCTGCATGAACGTTGCACTGTGCATGGCTTGTAATCATAAATTCTCTTTTATGTACAGAATGACCTTACCAGAGTTTCCTTTTTAATGTTTTATTTTATTTCTTTCAAAGCTCACAACTGCCTGGGCTTTACTCTTGCACAATTACATTAAATCACATTTAATCCCTCCAACCAAATCTAAACATCCATGGGGCCATTTTAATCATGGTTGGCAAAAAAAAAAAAAAAACACATGGCACTAAGCAACAAATTGCTTTTGATTATGATAACATAATGGATGTACTATATGAATGTGCGCACAGTGGATAAGTAATGATTTCACAGAAGTGTGGTCGTGCAGCTGTGGCATGTGTGAATGCATGCAAGGGGCTATCAGAATCAGTCCACGCTGTATTCATTACCACTTCATTTGTTTTGAGTGAATCTGTGTGGAATTTGTTTACATGTGGAGGATCAGACTGCATGCAGTTAGGACATGTGCTGCTGATGTTTGTGAATAGAGTGTGTTGATGTTACAGGGGCTTATGGGTATTGATGTTGTTCATAAATGGTCTTTGCTCATTTGCCTAGAGGGGCAAACATGTTTTTTATTAGCTCTGGTTGGTTGACTGACACCTGTAAGCAGTTACAGGAAAGTGGCTACAGATTATATGGGCTTTTCAAGAGCGTACATTTAGGGTTGGAAAGATTTCTTTAATGGTGTTGAAAGAAATATCCTATGCTCATCAAGACTGAAGTTATTTGATCAAAATGCAGTAACAACAGTAATATTGTGAAAAAATATTACAATTTAAAATAGCTATTTTAACTGAACGCGGCTGAACAACAGTCACTGATAATCAGCAGGATTTAGATTTCATTTATCACGTGAGGCTAGTGAGTCGAGCTGACTGACAAGAAAAGTGAGGTGAGAAAGACAAAATATCAATAACTACCGAATGATGTTACATGATCTTGCATTCCTGGCAGGGTGACAGAAATTAAGAAATTACTGTCATTATAACCAAGTATTAAGCTATACATTATATTTATTCAAAGTTTCTCAAGATCAAATAATAATTCATAATTATGATATAATTCTTACTGTAACAGCTGGAGCATGTGTAAGTCTGGACGAGGCATTCCTCTGGCCACAGATTGGAAATTAACAAGGACTTGGGGCAAAAATGCTATCAAATTGGACAAAAATGCCCCTGCACAATTAAACTAAATCTATTACAGCTGTCATGAATAAAGTCAAAATACTGAAGACTACTATTGCTACTAATACTACAAATACTATTGCACAATACTGAAGTCAGTGATAATATTCTTTGATAATGTAGCCTATGTTCTTTTCTCGCTTTCTGTATATTATTTATTGCTGTTTGAATAACCGTGGAAATTAAATTGTTACAAACAGGCCTAACTTACAATGTTTTTATTAATTTGGGATCACGTTAAATACAAATTTGGTCATATTAAAAATATTTATGACATGACACCCATTATCTAGTACATGCCTAAAAAGACGGGTATTATGTGCACTATTACACTAACATTAGGATAGGTTAGTCTTACCCTGGAGTGGGGTCAACCTCCGCCTATGGAGAAAAAAACAAAGTTTTCAAAAGCACCCCCCCCTCTG